TTGTTTATGTGCACCATTTCTACAGACCTAAGATATGCTTGCAGAGCTATAAATTTTCCCCTTCATACAGCTATGGCTGCATCCCATAGGTTCTGGTAGCTCGTGTCTTCATTCTCATTTGTTTCCAAGTATCTTTTGATTTCGTCCTTGATTTCGTTCCTGACCCACTCGTTGTTCAGCATCGAGTTGTTTAATTTCCAGGTGTTTGATTTGGTTCTCCGTGTCTGTGTGTGATTCACTTCTATCCTCAGTGCATCATGGTCTGAAAAGATGGCTGATACTATTTCTATCTTCCTTATTCTGTTGAGGTATGTTTTGTGTCCTAGCACATGGTCTATTTCGGAAAATGTTCCGTGTGCACTGGAGAAGAATGTGTATTCTTTCGTTTTGGGGTGTAAAGCCCTGTATAGGTCTATAAGCCCTCTCTCTTCTATTTCATCTTTCAAAGCCAATGATTCCTTGCTGGGTTTTGTTCTTGTTGATCTGTCCAGAGGTGATAGGGCAATGTTGAAGTCTCCAAGTACTATTGTGTTGCTTGCAGTGTCCTCCTTAAAATCTGTTAGCAGTTGTTTTAAATATTTAGCTGTTCCCTCATTAGGTGCATATACATTTAAGAGTGTGATTTCTTCCTGTTGTACGTATCCCTTGATGAATAGAAAATGGCCTTCACTGTCCCTTCTAGTCTTTCTCAAGGTGAAATTAATGTTGTCGGATACTAGTATGGCCACCCCAGCTTTTTTACAGGAGTGTTTGCTTGCAGGGTTGTTTTCCTTCCTTTGACTTTAGAATCTGTGTTTGCTCTGAGTGTTGAGATGAGTTTCTTGTAGGCAGCAGAATGTTGGGTTCTGTCTCTGTATCCATTTTGCCACTCTGTGTCTCTTCAATGGTGAGTTTAGACCTTTGACATTGAGAGAGAGTATGGTTATGGGGTTTTGTGTCATGTTTCTGTGCGGGTGTGTTGTGGTTGTAGGGTTTGTCTTGTCTTATAGTAGCCCCTTTAGTCCTTGTTTTAGGTTTGGTTTTGAGTCTATGAAGTTCCTGAGCTGCAGTTTATCTAGAAAATAGTGTAGCTTTCCATCTATTTGGAGTGAGAGCTTAGCCAGATAGAGTATTCTTGGTGAAGCATTCATTTCAGTGAGTTTTTTGACTATATCTCACCACTGTCTTCTGGCTTGTAGGGTTTCCTCTGACAGATCTGCTGTGAATCTCAGGGGTGCTCCTTTGTATCTGATTTCCTTTCTTGCCCTTGCTGCTTGCAGTATTGTGTCTCTATCGGCAGCACCGATCATTCTAACTATAATATGTCTTGCGGTGTTTCTGTTGGGGTCTCTTTTAGCTGACACCCTTCGGGCTTCTTGAATCTGGATGGCTGTATTATGGAGCTCTGGGAATTTTTCGGTGATAATTTGTTTAATAATGGTTTTTTCATTGGGATTGTTTCCCTGAGCTTCTGGTAGTCCAATGATTCTAATGTTGTTTCTTCTGGAATCGTCTCCTAGGACTCTGATTCGCTCTTGAGCTATTTTGAGGTCTCTTGCCATTGTTTGTTGTTGTCTGTTGGCTTGGTGCATCTGATCTTCCAAGTCACTGATTCTTTACTCAGCTGTGGTCATTCTATTTTTGAGGGCCGTTAGTGAGGATTTGACTTCGTCTATGGAATCTGTGATGCGTACCATTTCTGTGCGAAGCTTTCCAATTTCGGCTCTCATTTCTTGCTGTATTTTGTCAATTGTGTGATCGATAGTTTCTTTCATGTCCTCTTTCAGTCTAGCGGATATCTGTGTGACTGTTTCATCGAGTTGATTGAACATCTTGATGACTTCATATCTGAATTCCTTGTCAGAGAGGTCCCTAAGGTGGCTAGCACCTACTGAGGCTTCTAGACTTATTTCCTCGTGGTCTCCCTGTGGTGGGGATTTGTGTTGTTTCTTCATGTTGTTGTGTATGTGAAGGGGTAATATTTCTTGATTTGAGTGAGCTACCTGCTTCCGGTAAGCGTTGGCCCCTGAAATTTAGGCGACGCCCACTTTTTAAAGCCATGTCCACCTCTGAAGTGGCCACGCCCCCACGGATACCTGGTTTCTGTCCAGGAAGTAAAGACTGGGTGGGGGACAAGGGAGCGGCTCAGCTTGGGCTGCCGAAAAGGGACAGGCAGACAGGCGCAGATCCCCTTTTCCTCCCAGCGTACGGGGGTTGCCTGCAGACACTTGAGTGGTGGAGTCCCAGCCTGTTCCCCCCCTCCCCCCCTCCGCACCCCCGACACTGGGAGGAAAAGGGGATCTGCGCCTGTCTGCCTGTCCCTTTCGGTCTTCCAAGCTGAGCTGCTCCCTTGTTCCCCACCCCCCAGGTTAGTTTTCGCGCCGCCCTTCTATTTTTTTTACAAAATACCTTTAACATTTTAAATTAAATAATTCAGGCTCTGCAAAAAAAAAATCAAAATATTCCTCACCGGATCTGTAGATGAGTTACTGGCATCATTGTCTCACTTCTCTTTAAGTTGGTGCCATTCCATTCTACAAGTGCATCTGTAGATTTGGTAAAGGAAAAGTAGATGACTCAGACCTACACATTCAGAGAAGCACTATACCAATTATATGCATGCAATCAGGTACCTACCACTCAAACCCTTTGTGCTTCCATTATTTTTACTCTATATAGAAATGATAGTGTTTGCTTAGCATTTTTATTCTTTTTAAATTAGTTTTGAATGGTGTCAATTATCAAACCTTAGATATGACATTTAAGGATTGATTTTATACCTTTACATAGTTCACTCACCACACCCACCTGCTGGATCTTAGTATCATGACATGACCAAAAATGCTCTCTATTCAGCTCTTCCTGTCAACCTCTCAGAGTCAGCAGTTTTGTTCCGTTAACTCAATATTTTCTTAAGAAGATGAAGACAGAGGTTTTATGTTGAATAGCACTAATCCAGGTGCTCTTCTTCACCTTGATTTGCCAACTATTCACAAGTTAAAGTTCAAATGATCATTTGTGTTTATATCGAAAATCTCTCTGGTCAAAGGCACATGACCAATAACCAGACTCCATAGGGCCTGGTGATAGTACACAATAGGCATTTGCTTTCCATGTGTCCAGCCTACGTTCCATCCTCAGCATCCCATCTGATCCCCTGAGCATGTCCAGTAGTTGTTTCTGTATACATAGCCAAGAGTAACTCCTGAAAATCACAAGGTGTGCCACAACATTAAAAAATTAATAAATAAAAAACTAAAAATCATGGGGGCTGGAGAAATAGTACAGTGGGTAGGGCATTTGCCTTGCAGGTGGAAGACCTGGATTTGATGTGTCCCATATGGTTCCCCAAGTACCTCCAGGAGTAATTCCTGAGTGAAGAGCCAGAGCTGGGTGTGACCAAAAAAGAAAATAATAATAATAATAATAATAATAATAACAATATCTTACCCCATTTTTCAAAAAATTCTCTATAGAATTTCATAATTTAAAACTACAAATATTATCTGTCTTCTGTATTTTAAGTCACAAGTTAAATAAATCATGAAGTCTCTCATTCAGCCCCACTGCCTACTCCATTGCCTGGATGCCTTTTTCCATACTGCACTGTAGCACTGTCCTCCCATTGTTTACTGATTTGCTCAAGCTGCCCACTAATGTATCCATTGTGAGACTTTTTGTTAATGTGTTTAGCATATTGAATAAGTCCTGAGTAGCTTGCAAGGCTTTGCCACTAGGGCAGGATACTGTCAGAAGCTTTCAGGGCTTTCATTCCATTTTTATTTATTATGATAAATAATATCCTTTATTATTAGCAAGTGCCTACTAGATTATCTTGTCTTTTAAGCTCACAGAAGACGGAACTAGTAAATGTGCATGATTAATGAATAATACTCTCAGACACAAAAACTTTCCGAATAAGGATAAGTAATGATATTTCTTTATATATCTGTTATTTAAACTTTTTCCTTTCGTTTCTTTTTGATATTTTTCTTTTTTATTTTTTTAAGAGCATTACAAAGTCATTCATGATTATATTTCTGTCATACAGTATTTCAACACCCATCACTTTACCAGTGTACTATTCCCACCACCAGTGGTCCCAGTTCCTTCTCACTGCCTTCTCCACCCTTCCACAATTCTCTCTCTCTCTCTCTCTATATATATATATATATATCTAAAGATCTATCAATCTATCTACATATTCATCCATCTATCTACCTATCCATCCATCTAGCTAGCTAGCTAGCTATCTCCTTTTGGGCATTGTGGCTTGCAATATTGATATTAAAAGGTTATCAAAAATATCCCTTACCTACTTTTAGCCATCCACTCTTGCCAATAAAGTTCAGAAATATCACTTCCAGCTATTATTTTTATAGTGGCCCCTTCTCTATCTTACCTGTCCTCATATTTACACACAATTGAGGTTAGTTCCAAACATCCATCACTCATTTGTTATCTCTATCCTAATGACTCATTGTGACCCTGACAAATGGAGGCATTGGGACACACTAAAGAACATGCGTAAGTGCTCCTTGTTTTCAGAGAGCTGATGTATGGGCCTTTACAGACCTTCTACTTCAGGGTCATATTCTTTCATATCCTGGGGTCCAGTGTTCTGTTAGTGGGTCATATTCAATCACTAAGATGTCGCAACGTTCATGCCTCTGAAGAACAGAAAGCCCAGAGCACAAGAAGATGGCTCCAGAGTTCTGCAGCTGTGTTTACCTTCTGCCCAGAAAACTCCCCTCCAGACAGTATAATGGGACATGGCCTAGAAAACTAGTGGGAAAATTAGGATCTGAGAACATTTAATTTTTGTGAAAAGTTGTGGATCATGATTTTCAGAAAGATCAGGCAAAGTCAAAATATAGCATGTCAAAGTTGTGTGGCCTGCATATACTTTATAGGTTGCTCCTCTCTATCTCAGGTACCTATATGGCCATGAGGATCCATGGTCATACTGAAAATTCTTTCTCATTTGTGTTTCCAGGTGCACCATCAGAGAGTTTTGGAGCATGGATATAACTGTCACAACTTGGGTGACTGAAAGCACACTGCATAATCAAAGCTACTGGGACGATTTTGATAGACAGCATAACATGGCTTGGATGATCTCAGGCATTTTGGAGCTCATCATTTCCCTGGTGGGGCTGGCAGGAAATGCTGTGGTGCTCTGGCTCCTGGCTTTCCACATGCAGAGGAATGCTTTCTCCGTCTACATCCTCAACTTGGCTGGAGCTGATTGTGTCTTTCTATGCACCCACATTGCATTCTTCATATTGGATTTGGTTGCATATAGTATATACACCATCCTGTTACAAGTTTTTTTTGTAGCATTTTTCTTTTCCTATGTTGCAAGTCTGAGCATTCTCACTGCCATTAGCACTGAGCGCTGCCTGTCTGTCCTAAAACCCATATGGTATCATTGTCACCGCCCAAAACATATGTCATCTGTTGTCTGTGCCCTTATCTGGGCCCTGTCCCTACTGCTGTCTATCCTAAGAATGTGGTTATTTGGATTATGGTTTACATATATTGATAGATATTTGTACATTATAATCCGTTTTAGCATTCCCACCTGGCTAATTTTCTCCTTTGTGCTCATGTTAGGGTCCAGCCTGGTGCTACTGGCCAGGTTGTTGTGTGGCTCCCTGAAAATGAAGCTGACCAGGCTGTATGCAACCATCGGGCTCACAGTGTTGGTCTTCCTCTTCTGTGGCTTGCCCTGGGGAATCAATGATTTTCTCTTACTCGGGATGCAAACTGATTCTTACTGGGACGTCCTTAAAGTAGATTTAGCGACGAAGGTATTAGCCTGTGTCAACAGCTGTGCCAATCCCATCATTTACTTCTTTGTTGGCTCTTATAGGCAGCAGCAAAGACAGCAAAGAAAGAGCCTAAAACTAATTCTGCAGAGAGCTCTACAGGATGTTCCTGAGGAGGATGGAAATCAAGGCAGCCCTCCTCAGGAGACCCTGGAGATGTCAGGAAATATTCATGTGACCTAATTCAACTATGTTGGCATAATTTTCAGAAATTTTGTCATTTTATTTCAGATATCACATTCTCACTTCATAAAGCTGAATATTGTAAATGAACCACCATTAATTTTTATGGTGTGTGTATATATATATATATATATATGCACAAATATATATAGGTAAAAAGTCTATTTTGTATAGGGTTCACACAGAATAAATTTGCTATTAATCCTTGAGTGTTTTCCAGACCTGTTTGTATTTATTACATGTAATAATCAGAAGTTAAAACTGGATAATTGGAAGAAGTTGCATGTGAAACTCTAGGAATAATTTTCAATGAATATTCTAGGGAGATGGTTCTATATCTGTTTCATATATCTGCTGTGTGCTCTATATGATCTGGACTTACTATTTCTCTTTGAGTTGCTCTCTCACTCAAAATGCTAATATTTATAAATTATTACTCAAGAAAATAGAAACAAACAAACAAAAAAACCAACTGGACCTCATCCATTCAAACATTCCTGTACAGCTAAGAAAACATGTGCTAATACGAATAGAAACTAAATGAGGAAAAAAAAAAGTTTGTGCATACAATATCAGATAAAGGTTTTATATTTTATATTTTATGATTATTTCTTTATATTTATATGTCATCATACATATTTCACTGTACTGTCACTGTACTCCGGTTGTTCATCGATTTGCTCAAACGGGCCCAGTATTGTCTCCATTGTGAGAATTGTTACTGTGTCTGGCATATTGAATACATCACGGGTAGCTTGACAGGCATTGCCATGTGGGTGAGATATTCTCCATAGCTTGCCGGGCTCTCAGAGAGGAGCAGAGGAATCAAACTCGGGTCGGCCATGTTGGCCACTTGCAAGGCAAACGCTCTACCTGCTGTGCTATCGCTCCAGCCCCATACATATTTATACATGTCAAATATATACATCTAGGCATACGAATATATTTTCTATGCATACATTTTATGTATTATATATATTAATACACATCTTTAGGTTTTTATACATATTTAAATGACCCATCTTCCTGATTCTGTCAAATTTTACTTCTGTAAAAATGTGAGAGACTTCTTAGTTTAACAGAGTCCCATTTGTCTATCTCTGTTTTCACTTGCTTGGCCAGTGGTATGACATCTTTGAATATATCATTAGCTTCAATGTCATGGAGGGTTTTGCCAACTTTGTCTTCAATGTACCTTATGGATTCCAGTCTGATGTTGAGGTCTTTAATCTGTTTTGATCTTACTTTTGTACATCGTTTTAGGCAGAGATCTGTGCCCATTTTTTTGGATGTAGCTGTCCAGTTTTGCCAACACAATTTGTTAAAGAGGCTTTCCTTGCTCCACTTCACACTTCTTGCTCCCTTATTGTACTAAGAAGCTTCTGCACCTCAAAGAAACAGTGACCAAAAAACAAAGACAGTCTGCAGAGTGAGAAAGGATATTCGCCCAATACCCATCCATCAAGGGGATGATATCAAGTATACACAAACTACTGGTTGAACTCCACAAGAAGAAAATATCCAACCCCATCAAAAAATGGGGTGAGGAAATGAACAGAAACTTTCTCAAAGAAGAAATCCGAATGGCTAAAAGGCACATGAGAAAATGCTCTACGTTATTAATCATCAGGGAGATGCAGATCAAAACAACAATGAGGTATCATTTCACACTACAGAGACTGGCCCACATCCAAAAGAACAAAAGCAACCGGTGTTGGTGTGGATGTGGCAAGAAAGGGACCCTCCTTCACTGCTGGTGGGAATGCCTACTGGTTCAACCCTTTTGGAAAAGAGTATGGATGATTCTCAAAAAACTAGAAATTAAGCTCCCATTTGACCCAGCAATTCCACTCTTGGGAATATACCCAGGAGAGGCAAAAAGGTATAGTCAAAGTGACATCTGCACTTTTATGTTCATTGCTGCACTGTTTAAAATAGCCAGAATCTGGAAAAAACCTGAGTGCCCGAGAACAGATGACTGGTTAAAGAAACTTTGGTACATCTACACAATGGTGTACTATGTAGCTGTTAGAAAAGGTGAAGTCATGAACTTTACATACTAGTGGTACTACATGAAAAGTATTATGCTAAGCGAAATGAGTCAGAAAGAGAGGTACAGACATAGAAAGTTCTGGGGAACATAAAGTAAAAAAATAGGAGACTAACACCCAAAAATAGCTGAGATAAGTAACAGAAGGTTCCCTCTATGGCTTGGGGGCCAGCTGCACGTGCTTGGGGAAAAGGCAGCTCAGATAGAGAAGAGAGTACAAATAAAGGGTGGTTTGAGGATCTTCCCAGGATGGGAGATACATGCTGAAATTAGACTATAGACCGAACATGATTGCCACTCAATGCCTATTTTGAAAACCACAACACCCAAAAGGAGAAAGAGAACAAAAGGGAATGCCCTGCCACAGAGGCAGGGTGGGATGGAGGATGGGGAGTGGGAGGGATATAGGGATCAGTGGTGGAGGAGAATGTGCACTGGTTGAGAGTTGGGTACTTGATCATTATATAACTAAAACCCAAGCACAAAAATTTGTAAGTCTACAACTGTACCTCATGGTATTTCACTAATAAAAATTTAAAAAAAGAATTTTACTGGAAAAGGTGCTTTACATATGTTCATGTTAATGTTCAACCACACCTATATGTAATTGCTGTCCTTCAACCCTTCTTAATTTCCATAACAGAATTCTGACTGAGTTGAATAAAGACAGCACTAGTTAAAAGAAAAAAAATGTGAGAGAATGTCTGAACCTACACTGTCTCCACAGCTGACAGAGAAATGTTTTACACTTTGAATCTTTAGGGAAAAAAATATAATTGTGAAAAATTTAAATCAACAAGTAAGTCATTTAAAACTGTGACATTGGACTGTTTCTTATTGTCCGTCCTTAGTTTATTTGCACATTATTCAATTTTTCTTGAAAGCATATCATATAATTGACAACTAAATTTCATAACAACTCTTAAAAATTCTAAATTTCCTGTAATACCCTAAAGTCTTATATGGGAAGAAAAATAATTCTCTGGTTCAAACTGACAAACAAAATGAAATATAAATGTTATTCAAATCAATAATCATAAAAAAATAGTTTAGATGCAAAAGTGAATAAAACTACTCCTTCTGGAATTGATGTCAGTAGATTTTATGAGCTGATATACTTCTGTAGCATTTGTAAAGAACATAAAAATGAAAAGGACTTATTACCATAATAATACAAAAATGAAAAGAGTCAAGTAGAGTTTGAGTCTCAGAAAAGCAAAGTGTACTCTATTTCTAATCTTCACAGACTAAAATCCCATTGCTCTGTGTGCTGCCCAGGCACATGACTGTCAATGACAGAATCCACAAGAACCACTTCCAGAGAAGTATACCACATGGGGGTGGAGATACACAGGCTGAAATGGAGGTTTCATCAGATCTAATGTTGAGACACATCCCCAGAGTGGTCATGACACTAAAGACACTGTGGTCTCATTTGACAGCAGGTCTTTGAAAAGGAAATCATAGATGTTCACTGGAAAATTGATTAGCCTCCCTCTCACCAACTTCCACTCCTTCTGAGAAGTCTTCTTCGGGGGCAGGAAAGGTTCAAAACGAAGGTAAATCTCTATAGACTACGTCTCAACAGGAGTCAGTTTGCCTGCTTTGCATTCTACCTTTAGGTGGCAAGCTGACTCCTTATCAAAAGCCACTGCTGGGTTTTTGCCCTAAGGCACATCCATGAACCTCAAACCAGGAGCCACTTGAGTGCACCAAGAAAAGACAGAAATTCAGGGCCAGTGAGATAGTCCAGCAGGTAGGATGTTTGCCTTGCTCACTGCATACTCACAGCCTGGCAGGGAGAAAGTATTTCAAATGCCTGTCCTCACAATTTTTTCACTCTCCTTTTCCTGGATGCACCATAGTCAGGAAGTGGGAATCAGTCTGTGAGGCATAGAGATATTGTCTCCTGGATGCATAATCAATGAGAATATGCAAATGGATTTGGTGATAAAGGCAGAGGATTCTATCTTCCTTTGCTTTCTTCAGAAAAGGAAGTTTCTGGGACTTTTTCTGCGTGATAGAACTCTTCTTTACTACATTCCATCAAATTATTTCCTTACTTTTTTGTTGTCAAACAACACCTGCACAATTTCTTTGGAATAATATCTCAAAAGTACATCATTTCCAGTATAATTTTATTTTTATTTGAAAATATACTGGTATTTATAATTATTTATAAATATGTATTTTTCAAATTTTGGAGGTTCATGATTTTGAATTTGTAACAAAGAATAGCAATTGTGGTTTTTGTTTGTTTTTTGGTTTTTTGGTTTTTGCATTTTGTGTCACACCTGGTTATTCACAGGGATTACTCCTGGCTTTGTACTCATAAATTACTCCTGGCGGTGCTCGGGGGACTATAAGGGATGCTGGGAATCTAACCTGGATAGGCCTCGTGCAAGGCAACACCCTACCTGCCGTGCTATCACTTCAGAACCAGCAATTGTGTTTTAAATAAACTGCAATTACTAAAAAAGACTTTAGTCTTGAGAAAACATGCCTCTCCCATTTTTGTGTATTTCCCTTTTTAAAAATAATTGTGTTAACACCGTGTGGTCCTCTGTGGCATTTTGCAATCAGCTAGGGGAAGAAAAGAAAGGCAGAACTCAAGGAGTTGGTGCCTTACTTCTGCTCTCCTCGAACCACGTGCCCAGTGATGACAGGACCAAGTTCTTAGTACCATCCAGAATCAGCCAGCCCTGTTCCCACACCCTCAGTAATATTTCTGAGGAGAAATGGAATTAGTAGGTAACTGCAGTCTCTACAATACTGATTCTTCCTGAGAAACTGCCTCATTTAAAGACTTTTGATGAAAACTCTTCTCATTATAAATGATGTGGCAGAAAACATGGAATTTCTTAGGTGTGACTCCTGAATCAGGGTCTATGTTGACCTACCCAGATCCCAAGTAATTTATTATCCTTAATTTATCCTCTTCTTTGTTAAT